CTGCCATGCGGGCAGGGGACTGGACTCGATGACCTCTTGAGGTCCCTTCCAGTCCTAGAATCTATGAATCTACTCCTCAGGGGGCTACCTCTCACACACCCCCCACTGAAGCAACAATTTTGAAAGGCCTCGAGGCCCCAAGAAGTGCCCCCCTCTTCCAGTCATTCCCACCATCTTTGAGGTCCCACCAGTTTGGTGACCGACAAGCTCTGTTTCTCCCATCATGGAGACTAATCACCTCAGACAGGTGGGTTCTAGAGATAATTAAGGAAGGATATTCTATCCCCTTCATATCTATCCCACCCTGCCACCGCCCACTTCCTGTCCCTCTTCAGGGACCCCCTCACAAACCCATTCTAGAGGGAGAAATAAATTATCTTCTGCAACTGGAAGCCATAGAACTGGTCCCTTTCCAACACAGGGGACAGGGTTTCTACTCCCATTATTTCCTCATCCAGAAGAAATCTGGCAGCTGGCAACACATCCTGGACCTTCGCAATCTAAACAAGTTCGTCAAACTGCAACACTTCAAGGTGGCTACCTCTCCACTATTATCCCAGCACTGGAACAGGAGGACAGTTTCTCTGCCCGTGACCTCCAAGACACATACTTTTATATTGCAATTCACTCTGCCCACAGACGATTTTTCCAATTCATCATGGGCAACAACCACTACCAGTAGAAGGTACTGCCTTTCGAACTATCGACTGCCCCTTTGGTGTTCTTCAAGGTCCTGGCAGTAATCGCAGCCTACCTAAGGAAACAAGGCATCATCATCTTTCCATACTCGAACAACTGTCTCCTCAAGACCCCAGCTGAGACCGACATTCTCCGAGCCGTCTACAACAATGAACTTGTTTACAAAGCTAGGCCTCCTCATGAACCTAGAAAAGTCCACTTTAATGCCAGTACAACACCTGGAATTCATTGATGCATAATTGGACACCCTACAAGCCAGAGCCTTTCTACCGCCTCACAGATTCTTGGTCATACTAGATCTGATATCCAATGTGCGGGGTCTGCCCCCAGATCTCTGCCAGGACATGCCTCCAACTTCTAGGCCACATGGCAGAGGCCACTTTCATGATCAGGCACGCAAAACTACACATGTGATGTCTTCAGGCATGGCTCTATACAATATATCACCCCAACAAACACAGCCTCCACAAACTCTTATCCATGCAAATAAGAGTCAAGGACTCACTGCTTTGGTGGACTCAGCCCTACAATGTCTGTGTTGGAGTTCGTTTCCTCCAGCCACCACCGACCATGATTCTAACAACAGATTCCTCCCTAATCAGTTGTGTCCCCTAATCACACAGTGCAGGGCAGATGGTTGTTAACAAAATCCACTGTACACATCAACCTCCTAGAACTACGAGTGGTCCACGATGCCTGACGACATTTCCTCCCTCTCCTTGAACGTCACACCATCAGAGTCATGACAAACAATCTCGCCTGTATGTTTTACATCAACAGACAAGGCGGAGCATGTTCCCACTCTTTTGCTCAGAGGCACTCAAATTGTGGAACTGGTGTATCCAGCACAACATCACCATTTCAGCAGCATACCTCCCCGGATACCAGAATACCACTGCAGACACATTGAGCCAGAGATTCTTCCTTCAGCCCATCTACAATTGATGGGGATGTCCTATCATAGATCTTCTTGCTACACCGCAAAACACCCATTGCCCTCAATTCTGTTCCAGAGCAGGACTCGGACCCGGATCGCTGGGAGATGCATTCTTTATCGCATATAGTACAGCACTCCTCTGTGGCTTCTCTCCATTTCCCCTCCTATTCCAGATACTTCACAATATACAGGAGGACCAAGCTCACATCATTCTTATAGCTCCAACATGGCAACAACAGGTTTGGTATATTTATCTCCTTCACATGATAGAATACCAACCAATCGCTCTCTGTCCAATACCACAGCTCCTTTCACAGGATGTATCCTCCATCCCAAACCAGAGATGCTCCCCTTCAAAGCCTGTCTCCTCCATTGTTCCAGGATTCAGAAATAATCTGTTTGGATGCAGTGAGATACTTTTGAGTGGCAGGCGTGACACAACTAGATGCACTATTCCATTTGAATACACCATGATCAGCTTCAAAAATGGAACACTACATACTTTGAGGACCACATCCTGAAAGAAATCTTTCCCAAACCCCACTTCTGGCCTTCAAACACCCATCCAACCTCATCAAGCTCATCATCAGAAGCAAGCTCCGCGCAGTCAAGGAAACACCACCTGAAAGCACCAGATCCTACCAGAACAACAGATGCAAAACCTGCAGACGCATCACCATGGCTGTGATGATCAATATTCCCCCAATACACCTTTCAAGATCAATTGGTTCTACATATAAGGGTTAGCTCAGTGGTTTGAGCATTGGCCTGCTAAACCCAGGGTTGTGAGTTCAATCCTTGAGGGGGCCACTTAGGGATCTGGGGCAAAAAATCAAGTACTTGGTCCTGCTAGTGAAGACAGGGGGCTGGACTCAGTGACCTTTTGGGGTCCCTTCCAGCTCTATGAGATAGGTATATCTCCATATATTTTATTTATTTATTTATTTATCACAATATGTGGTGTACCTGATCCAGTTTATCAAATGCCCCAACAACAACTATGTGAGTGAAACCAGCCAATCACTTTGCTCTCAAATGAACTCTCAAAGAAAAATTATAAAAGACAAAAACACCCTATCACATGTGAGTAAACACTTAAGTGAACACTCTGTGTCTGACCCCTCAGGCCTCATCATCAAAGGAAACCTGCACAACACCTTCAAAAGATGAGCCTGGAAACTTTAATTCATAACTCTGCTGGACGCTAAAAATCATGGACTTAACAAAGGCATTGGTTTTATGGCTTATTACAATTTTTAATGCATTCTGCTGCCTACTAACCCTCCTTTATCCTAAAACTGGTGATGTGTTCAGTGCCATCTTCATTTGAAGTGGTCTCCTACAACATTAATCTGAACAATCTGTCCAGCCTTGTATGTAGCTGTGACACTCTGGTTACCATTTCCTGACCTGAATAAGGAAGATCTCTGTGAAGCTCAAAAGCTTGTCCTCTCTACCAGCAGAAGTCAAGCCAATAAAATATATTATCTCATCCACCTTCTCTCTCATATCTAGGACCAACACAGTTACAACAACACTGCAAACTTAAAATGGATACTATTTCATATATATGCAGAAGTTGGTCCAATAAAAGATATTACCTCACCCACTTCGTGCCTTCATTTTAAGTGTCAATTAGTATGAAAGGTACAACCATTGTACTGAAATTGACATTTTTTACAGTCAGTAAATTGTTTTGGTAGACAGTAATGTTGAAAATTAAATGCATGATTGTATTAATTTAAAAGGCCTTTTTCCTTTTCCTGCAGGTTTTTCGCCTGGACTAGACACAGTTGGAATTGAAGCAAAATTACAAGGTCAGTGCCTTTTCACCTTTCTGAGTACAACATGACATTTTGAGCCAGATTCTTCCACCATATCTGAATAGCTCCATTCATTTCCGTGGAACTACTGATGGAGCAAGATATTATTCAGTGTGATTAAGGTTGGCTGAATCTAGCCTTTTGTGAATTGTTAAAGCAACACTATTACTTTCAAGTATCAGAGGGGTAGCCATGTTAGTCTGAATCTGTAAAAAGCGACAAAGAGTCCTGTGGCATCTTATAGACTAACAGACGTCTGTTAGTCTATAAGGTGCCACAGGACTCTTTGTCGCTTTTTACTATTACTTTCATTTAACTTACATGCTATTCCATATTGTAAATACTGGACTTTCCAAATATGATTCTTTTACGAAAAAACAGATTTCATAATATGGAGAAACAATAAATACTCCTCTTCCCAAGTTCTTACCCACATGCATAGGTATGTATATCCTGCTTCTTGTATATCCTACTCATAAATCAAACTTTGGATACAGTAAGAGTCATTTCATTTTGAATGCTTTTCATTTTCCTTCCTTTCCCTCCATTGATTTGTCATTTGATTTAATTTCTTTTCACATTCCTTCAAAATTTGCTCTACAGAAATTTAATATCAGATTTCCTCTTTCCACAAAACTTAAATACCTGCAGCTTGCCCAAAAGCAATTTAAAAACTGCATGCTTGATGCACGTGGGGCAGCAGTAGTAGAGACTATGTGCGGGGGAACTTCATACTGCCTTGTATTATAGAAAACTTTGCATCAGGCCTCATAACTCCCTGAGGAAGGTGTGAGGAGAATTTTGTACAGGTCAAGGGCATGGTATTTTATGGCCAGTGGGAGTGTATCCAGTGAGCTATAGGAGGGCCTTATATGCTATTCTTTCATGTTACCTATATTGGTGACTGTGATCAGGGGCGGCTCTATGTTTTTTGCCAGCCCAAGCACGGCAGTCAGGTGGCCTTTGGCGGTGTTTCTGCGGGTGATCTGCCGGTCCCGCCGCCGAATTGCCACCAAAACTGTGGGACCAGCGGATCTCCCGCAGGCATGCCGCCAAAGGCTGCCTGACTACCGCCCTCATGGCGACCAGCACGCCGCCCCTCGCGGCTTGCTGCGCTGGTGCCTGGAGCCGCCCCTGGTTGTGATTTGGCTATGTATACAGTCTGGCTGGTTTAGACTGAGGATTCCATTCCCCAGGACCATGAGATTTTTGACATGGAGCAAAGCCCTTCAATGCATATTCTGCTCTATTGCTAAAGATTTAGCATTTATTGCTTGATTTATTCATTCTGTTTATGTATGCCAGGAGAAATCTTACACATCTTGCAAGATTTGTATGCATAAAGTGTTCCATAACTTATTTAGTCATACCTCAAATCTATTTGATTTATTAGGTCTTCTAAGAATTATTTTGCTATGCTAAAGTTGTTCTAAGCTTGGTTATACATTTATTCATATAGCAAATAGATAAAGCAATGCCAAGAAGTAAGATAAGATAATTCAATCAAGCAATTAAGGGACCCCTTGTATGCTGTATTGTTAAAACGGACATGTAGCATCTGACTTTGCAAATACAAAAAGATCAATTATATTCTTCAGTTCTCAGGTTTTTATAGAATAGTCTTTAACTATTACTTAAAGAATTTTTAAGAAGATGATTTTGTTATGGCTTGAACATAAAATAATTATTTACTTTAAGGCTCTTTAAATATTAAAATTACTTCTCAATTTATGACAATACTATCAAATTTCCCAGATGAAACTCAACAGTTTAGGGGTCAGCCCCTCCCATCTTTAAATGATAAAAACAAATATGCTATGCTTTCTTTCATACTGTCTCCAATATAAGAATTATATGAAAAGCAAAATAGGTATGGTAATAGAACATTACTTGCCAAGATTTTAACCGCACAAATCTAGAAATTCACCTTTATTAGTCTAACAGATATTGTAACTCAGCCCTCTTGCACATATGCAGTATTTTGTAGTAATGTATATTCTGTTAATTATAATTATCTTTATATATATGTGTATGTATATGTATATATAGTGTGTATACAATGTGGATGATTTGTGGTTGCTATGGGAACTACAACGTTGAGTTTCTTGACATATTTGCATTGAAAAATCTCAACATTGTATTAATGTCATTTTTGCACTTAATTTTCTTGGTTTCGAAAGAGATAAGAACAAAGGAAACACTTTGATCATCATCATCATTCAAATATCCACTGCTAGTGACTACATAGGTTTATTTGAATTTGTAACCATTGAAATAAATGCAGGCACAGTTACTATAATGTACATATACCATTAAAAACTCAATCACACGTGCATTTGAATAGCCATGCCTTGCTATGTCGTTAAAAATTAGTGAAAATATTGTATTGTGTTGGATGATTACTAGTGGACTCTCAACCTTTTCAGAGCTTAAGTTGACATTTTAAACTTCTCACATCTAGTTTCTTTCACACTTTCTACAATTTTAAAGTGAGGTTGGTTGGTTGGTTTTCGTTGAATGTATAGTTGAGCTTGAGCCTGCCCCAGTGAATTTAGTAAGAATTTTTGCCACTGACTTCAATGGGAAAAGGATCGTGTGCTTAGGCCTTCTGTTGAGTTAAGTGGAGTTACTCTGGCTTTACACTGTTGTAACTTAGACCATAATCTTTTCCTTAGTATATACAAAAATATTGTATCTTTTTCCTGCATGTTCGAAAAATTAATTTCTCTTTTCAAACTCTGGACAGAATTGTGTTTGAAGAATTTGAACAATTTGTCATCTCTTGATTTGATCAAGATGGATGAAGAATTTAATTTCAAACCTACAGGTAACATTTACTTCGTAATATAATTTAGACTATAGTATTGAAAATGTATTTTTAAAATATTTTTATAAGTTTTAAACATTATTCTTGGTATGCATTTATCATAAGACATACTAAGGGGCACAGAGATTGTGCAGTGAACAGAAAACCATTCAGGAGAAAGGTTGCCCTCAGGTACATCTGTGTACCTCCAGTGGAGTTCTACAGATGTAGCTGAGGGCAGAATTTGGCCCATAATGAACATATTCCGTATTTTATTATCTGAGCTGAATTTAATTTAGCAAATGATAGAAGTTGTATTCTTAGGACCATATACTGATCTGGATCCCTGTGCAAATCCTCCTATTAAATCACTGGAAATTCTGCTGCAGATCAAAAGATGGCCTGGTGACAGTGATCTATGTATAATAGTATAAGGAAAATAAAAATGCAGTTCTGTTGCTTAGAAGAAGCAAGTACCCTACACCTGTCTCTTTAAAAAATGCACTAAATATTTTTAATCTTCATCTACAGAGACTGGGAAACTAATGGCTTGGTACTATATTGCATTTGATACAGTGAAACAGTTTTCCACAATTAATGGAACAGAAACTTTATCTGAACTGGTAATATAATTTTCCTAAGAATATATATCTATATCTATATATACATCTGTAAGTTTAAAACAGAATTGAAGACAGTTTATATTGTTTTTCCTTACACCAAAAAATTATGAAGTTCAAGATGTATAAGATGTATGCAGTATGATTTTTTTCAAGGGTTTTAGTCTCTGAGATCTTCCAATTGTCCCATCTTTTACTCTTCTCAGTTACGTAGCACTGAGTCATCTTACCCTTCTGAATGAAGGAATTCTGAAGCAATTCTGATTATATATAACATACTATATTGTCTTGTGCTGTTACTTCCATTATATCTTACTACTAACAACAATTGCATGAAAACAGGATCTGTTAAACAATGTTAAATTGTTACAGATCACAATGATATCCGGCTGCATTGAATTTTCAGATGTCAAGTTAAGAATAAATGAGAAGAAAATATTGAACACTTTGAATAAAGACAAGAACAGGATAACTATCAGGTACAAAAAAATCAATGAATTAATATTCAGAAAGAAAGTATAATTTTTAGTTAAAGTGAATAGCAAAAAATCAGTATGTTTTATTATACAGATTTCCAATGGAAGGGAAGATAAAAACAAGAGAAATGAAAATAAACTGGTAAATATTTTGTCTTATCTCATTGGCTTGAAAATTAAAAGCCCTGATCCAGACTCCTATTGACTTCATTGTGTGCAGGCCTTTAGATGCCAAACAATGTTGCTTTTATCTTGAACTTGCCTTTGTTTTTCAATGGAGTCTTTGACTCTTGTTTTATTATATTTTGTTTACTAATATTTTTTATATACTAAGAAATATTTCTTTTTCAGTCTTATTCAGGCTCAATTAGGATGCATTCCTATTCAAGACTTCACTTTGACACAAGATATAGGCAAAATTTTCAGGCATGGCATAAGAGTTACTAAATGTATGTTAAAATTTAATGCATTTTGATATATTTAATAATAAACTGTATTATATTATTAAATATATTTTTTCTTTTGTAGGGTTATCTGACTTTCTGGCATCACGTAAAAACAATTTCCCTGCATTATTAAACTCTTTGATTTTAGCTAAGTGTTTCAGGTGCAAACTGTGGGAAAACTCTCTGCATGTATCCAAACAGCTAGAAAAAATTGGTAGGTACCAGAAAGAAGCAGTAATTATAATAGTGTGTCAAAGTTCATCATTAACTTCACTGTAAACTTTTGAAGATCTGTTTTCTGGACTAAATAAGCCAGAATCATGGTAGAAAAGACTGTTGCAAAGATGATTAGTTGACAGACCAGTACAAATTCTTTCAGAATCAGTAAATTATTAACTGGATTAGTAACTAGAATGAAAACGTTGATATAGGAATAACAACAAAATACACTAGAGAAAACATTTAAGGAACTTTTTCCAGAGATTTAACAGTATCAGATTCATGTTTATAAAGAAAATTGAACTATCCGATGGCAGAAACAACTGATATTTGAACTTTTAATTAATCTTTTTGTAATTTGTGATGTACCCTGCAAAATATTGAATTTCTGCTGCTTTGCTGATAATGTACACAATCCTGTCCTATTACATTACTGTTTTGCTCAATGGTAGACAGTCTTTTAATTGAAAATTCACACACAGGGCACTTTCAAGAATGACATAATTGTGACGAATGTAGTATGTTAATGATGTCTGAGACAGGCTTTAAAATAATTTATTTATTTACCTAACAACAGGAGATTACATACAAAATAAATACAGGACTGATGCTGCTGTAATCTAATCTTGCCGCCTGAGTCTGTGCAGCTGCTTCTTGGTGCTGTGTGGGAGACAGGAATAGTGGTACTGCATAGAGTCCTACAGAATGTGTAGCGACTTCCTGCTACAGTTTTAGCTCTTTAGGACACACCTTCTCTTTTTAAAAAAAATCACCATATTCTCTAACTGAACAAATTCTAACAGTGATTTAACTTAACATTTTTAATGTTGTTTTTACAATATCAGCCAATCTAATTAATCTTCAGCACTTTTCTGTATCTGCAGTATTGGGGGTTTTAGGCATGTCTATGTCTTAAACAGTCAGTTCACTCTCTTTGAAATAGTCTGAAACACAGTCGATCCATTACACTTTTTTGTGCTTCTCGTGATTTTTCACATTGCAACTGTGTTGCTCTATAATTGAGTAGTGCTTAATAAATTGCCTTTTTCCCTTCACTCTACAGAGTCCACATTCTTCAAATCTGTTTTCTTGTGGGTATCAAGAACTAGATCAGGGGTCGGCAACATTTGGCACGCGGCTCGCCAGGGTAAGCACATCGCTCGCCCGCGCCGCTTCCCACCGCCCCCATTGGCCCGGGACGGCGAACCGCGACGAGTGGGGGCCGCGATCGGCCGAACCTGCCGCGTCAGCAAGTAAATAAACTAGCCCGGCCCGCCAGGGTGCTTACCCTGGCGAGCCACGTGCCAAACGTTGCCGACCCCTGAACTAGATGATGTACTGAATTTCATAAGTTTTAGCCAGATCTATTAATTCTTGTATTCTTGAATTGTGGTCCGTTGCAGTCCTTGAAATTCCATAACATGCAAATACAGACTTAGTGATCACAGTTGAAGCTGTGGTATCTTGAAGTATCAATCTAGAAAGTGGTTAAAATAGTCCAGTATTGTAGGTTGTTCATGTGGTGTCATGTTTCTTTCCCATTGTGTATCTCTGTATTTCAGGCAGGTTCCACACTTGCTTATTATTTCATCCATATCACTGTTTATATGTAGCCAGAATATTACTTCTGCTCTTTTTTTTTTTAATTAATCATTCCAAGGAGTTTTTGGTGTGGGACTTAATTCTCATGTACAATAAGGTCCCTTTACAACGCACTGGGAGTGGGAGTAAATGTACTTTTTAAAGGGGCCCTCATATAAATGAGAATCAGGTCCATATTCTTTCCAGTATTTTTCTTCTTATGACTATGGAAATTTATTGTTTTTGTACATTTCATGAATACTCCCAAAATCAATGAGAGGTTCATTTTTATATGGTGAATATGCATGTGGGGAAATGTTGACTCCATCCAGTACTTAGAGCATGTATTACTGCTTATATTGTTTCATCCTTAGCTGTTTCTCTTTCCTGCTAATCTTTTATTTGTGGCAAAAGGGCACGTGGTGCTTTTATCGGGTTCACATGAACTGGTAACTGCTTATTCTAGATCAACTATTTGGAAGGTAGCAAAGAGAACATATGCTTTTGATGGCATCTATTTGGGAGGTGGCAAAGAGAACATATGCTCTTGACAGTCTGCAATTACTAGATGATGTCCTGTCCAGAACTACAGGATTAAACTATACTTTTGTACTTTCATGGTCTGTCTACACTGCAATAAAACACCTGCAGCTGGCCCGTGTCAGCTGACTCAGGTTTGGGCTGCAGGGCTAAAAATTGCAGTGTAGATGTTGGGGCTCGGACTGGAGCAGGTCACAGATGCTGGGCTCCAGCCCGAGTACCAACATCTTCACTGCAATTTACAGTCCTGCAGCCTGAGCCTTATGAGCCCAAGTCAGCTGCCATGGGCCAGCTGCGGGTGTTTTATTCCAGTGTAGACATATACACAGAAGTAGCTTCTGTATTCTTCTCAAAGTCCTTTCTTGTGTGTTGTATTCAGTGGGTTAAGGTCAATTTCAGCTTTTCAGCTACAGTTGTACAGAAAATTGTGAACTTTGTACAGCTATATAAAAAGCCCACATCTTTCTCTTTTGGTTTCCTCTTGTATGTTTTTCTGCTGCTGTCATAGCTCTTGCAGCATATTTTATTGACAGCCATTCATTTTCATGCCTCTGTAGTAGTGGTAGGGTGACCAGATGTCCCGATTTTATAGGGCCAGTCCCGATTTTTGGGTCTTTTTCTTATATAGGCTCCTATTACCCCCCACCCCCGTCCCGATTTTTCATATTTGCTGTCTGGTCATCCTAAGTAGTAGAGCTCCCAGGTTCCTTTTGAAGGTACTCTTTTGGTGGGTCAAACAATTGCTGAATTAGAGTTGATATCAATACTTTCTTCAAATTCTTGAATTCTTTCATGCTCTGGCAGCTAACTCAATCTTTTATCTTCATGAAGTGAGGTGAGTTATTCTAACTACATAGTTGGGTGTGAATTTACTGACATAATTCGACATGCATTGTGGTCTTGGATTTATTTATTTTTATTAAATTTTTGGGTCTCTGTATGTCAGTGTTGCATAAATCTTAGAAACTTCAAGCTTTGTGGTCAATTTATCTCCTAAATGTGTGATTTTTTTTTATTTTATTTTTTAATTGACACGTGGCCTTGTTCAATTTAGGACTGTTCTAAATACTTCTTGCATTTTCTAGTACCCTCCACATTTCTCCCTGATGTTCAGCAGAAATGCTGCTCCAGGCTATTATATCAAATGCCAAGTTTCTCCTCACTTCTTCTGGCAGGTAGGATTATGACCAATCACCATCCAGGGTTTTTTCACCTCTTCTGTTTCTTCAGTTTTTTAGCTGCTTCACCCAGAGTATTATGCAAAAAGGCAACTTCTATATCTGCATCTTGTTCTATTTGTCTCCCAACCGGAGAATGAAAAAGAAAAGGGGGAAAAAACATATCCTTATAGTAACGTTTTTTCCTTCCTTTTTTGACAGAATCTCCAACTACTTCAGGTAGGCAGTGGCTAAAGCAAGTTCAGGAGCTGTGACAAACAAAATTAGTCAGCTAGTCAGCTTCCTTAAAGGGGGATGAAGGCTCACCTAAGAGGGTAGAGACATTTGCTGAAGTAACAGCAAACTAATAAAGTGATTGATGCAGACTCTGGGGCTGGAAAAGACAGCCTGCACAAAGTTATCACAAAGCGGGAGAAGAAGAGGTCTGTTAGGAAGAGAGGCTCTCCCTAAGTCAGACCTGGAAGAAGTGCTTCAATACTTCATTGAGGGAAGTGATCTCAACAGGCCCCTTCCTTTACTCTTACCTATGAAGTTCTTGACACAAACAATGAGTCCTCCTTGACTGCTAAATCTTACCAGGAGACTAACCTTTCCTCCCAGAAGTTATCTAAAAAGGCTTGAAGGCTTCTAAGTTGCTGAAGGCTTCTAAGTTGCTTATTCTTAGCCTTCTTTCACTGTTCCTAGAAAATTATTTATGATGAATGCCGATACTTGTTGTTCTAGTGCTGATCCCTATGTGAATTCCACACGTGGGTATGCATGCGTACCATGCGCCCAAGTCCAGAGATTTTAACGAGCGGTGTCTGTTGCCTTGCACATGTGCAGTAGGTCTCCTTGTGCTCCTGAGTGAGGGTATAAGAAGCGTGTGGGTCAATGCCCCCCAGTTCCTTGTTACCACTGCATGGCTTGATGCAGAATCCGTAGTCCTCGCTTCAGTTTTTCAAAGAACCTGTAAATAAAATTGTAAATAGTTTATTCTTCCTAGATTTAATAAAGTTATAGTTTTAGTGTAGCTTCCTTCCCAGACTGGGGATTCCCTCCCCACAATCTGGGACTATGCCCAGAGTCCTGGGCTTCAAAAACTGCGTCTTCTGCCCTAGATCCTTCTCTGTTACCGATAAACAGCAACACTGTCTCTACTGTCTGAGTGAGACACATATTTCTGCAAAGTGCAGTACTTGTCACTTGTTTCCACCAATGGCTTGTAGAGCCTGTGAGCTTCACTTTAGGAAACACTTGATGGAGAAGGCCATGAGGCCCCTTTCCAGTCTGGGCCAGGGAGACATGAATAGGAGCGGAGCTTTTGGTTTCTAAGCCCAAAGACCCTTCAGGTCTTCCCATGAGAGTAAGGGACACTGTTATGGGCACAAGGGCAGATCCCCATTGAGGTCTATCCATAAGAGACATGGTCCTTTCCTGAGCCCATCAAAGTCAGGTGCCTTCACACGCAGACCCCAAGAAACTGGCTCTGCTAAAACCTCCTAGATTGCAGGGTAAAGTGTGTAGGAAGGATCTGACATTTCCATCAGTGATTCTGTCACCAAAGCATAAGGACTGTTATCTGCCGGTTCCATCTACAGGTGCAGGTCTGGACTTCTTGGTTCCGACTCGTCCACCCAAAGAATATACCTTACCCAGGGACACACTGTTATTGTTGGTGCCGACCCCTGGGACCCGTTGCAAACCAGGACACACACAGACCTACATGGCACCGGCGGATATCTTTCTTTTCTACTTGCAGTCCCCCCGTCTTCTCTGGCCCAGCCTTCCTAAGGGTCCTCCAGAACAAAAATGCAGTGCTCTACACAGGATAGGATCACCTACATCGATGGGCGCATATACATTCCACCGAGGTGCCCCCGGCTAGAAGGGCTCTATCTTTGCCATGACCCTCCATTGACAGGCCATTTTGGCCACCTTAAGACTTCCACACGCCTTCCCATTTCTTCTGGTGGCCCCGTAGGCAAACTGAAGTCCAGGACCATGTTGACTCTTGTGGCCTGTGTGCTCACACCAGGATGCCCCAGTACTCCAGAGACCCCGGGCCTCAATCACCCTGGACTCTATAGTGCAATTCCCTTCCTTTGGCCACAAGTCGCCTTAACTGTTGTAGACCAATTGATAAAAATGGCGCATTTCATCCACTGTATCGGCCTAACCTCTGCTGAAACAATGGCTCGACTCCTAGCAGTTCATGTGATCCATCTTCATGGGCTTTCAGACTGTAGCACTTTGGACCAAGGCTCTCAGTTGGTCTTACGCATTTGGCATAAAGCCCTCTGGCTAATGGATGTTCACACTTTTACTTCCTCCATGTACCACTACCAGACAGATGGGCAGAGAGAGAGGGTGAACTAAGTATTAGAGCAATACCTATGGTGCTTGGTCAACTACCATCAAGATAACTAGTTGTCCCTCCTTTTTTATGCCAAGTTCTCATACAACAACGCTGATTGTGCCTTCTTTGCAAATTATGGGTTCCAACCTTGCTTTCACCTGGCCTTATCAGCAGCCTCCATGAACCCAGCAGCTGGTGACTGAAACCAACAAATTCACCATATCCAGGAGAAACTTAAGGACCACCTTGAAGATGTGAAAAGGAACTACAAGTAGTATGCGGCTGTTGACTCCAGGAAGGCCCAGCTCTCATGGTGGGTCAAAAGGTCTGGCTTGCAGCAAAACACCTCTGTATGAACAGGCCATCCCTCAAGCTAGACCACCAGTTCCTCAGACCCTTCCAGGTTTGTAAGCAAATCAACCCTGTTACAGTCAAATGGCAGCTTCCTCAATCTCTTGAAAGTTATCCAGTTTTCCATGTATCCTTCCTGAAGCATTACACAGAGGGACCCCTTTCTTGATTGATCCCAACAGCTGCCCCCACCAGTCCAGGTCCAAGGGCATTTAATCCATGCTATCCTGACTCTAAGCTGAAGAGTGGGAGACTGTACTACCTAATCAATTGGGAAGGCTAGGGTCCAGAAGAAAACTCCTGGGAACCTGTACCCATGTCCATATCCATGCCCCTGACCTGCTAAAAAGTTTTCATCAAGACCCCTCAGATAAACCAGGCTCAGTGCCCATCTCAAGGAAGGATGCCTCTGAAGAAGGTGATGATGCACAGATACAGGGACTAGAACCCAGGTCTTCAGAATGTAAGACAGCTGACATTCTCACTGCCATCAGGGGGCCCTGCAGAGCCATAGTCAGGAAGCACTATGGAGACCCTGAGTGGCAGTAGCCTGCGGCCCTCTGATTGGTCAGCCACCTTATTTAACCCTGGTGATTGCCCCAGGAAATTGTCTGGGAAGCCACACAGACTTTGGGCCTGCTGCAATTCCAGACCTCACCTTGTCTCCTGATTTCTGGTCTCGAATCCCAGCCTGACCCTTGCTCTTGCCTCCTGACTCTAGCCTGGTAGTACCTCTGATATCCAGGATCTGACTCCAGCCTTACTCTGACCCTGATTCCTGCCTCTCAATTCCAGCCTTGTACTACCTATGGTCTCCAATCCCGGTCTGACTTTGATCCTGACTTTTCGTATTGAACCTAGCTCCAGCGATTTCCTCCGACCCCTGTTCACTGATTACCCACCCTGATGTGTGGACCTCAGCCCAGTTGTGACCTCTAGACCAGACCACCTATGCCCTGGTCCCTTACAACACATTTGCTAGACATGCACTAATCCAGGCCTCTGCTGCGGATTCAGCAATGGTATCTGCAGTACTGCAAGCATCTTTGCTGCCTGCTTCCTCACATCCACCTCCAGTCTGATCACAGCTTGCCCATCATCCACATGTGGAATACACATAGGGACCAGGACTTGAGGAAGAAATGGAGGTTATGTACTGTAACTGGAAATTCTTTGACATGTGTGTTCACTATCTATAGTTCACTACCCGTCCTCCATCCCCTCTGCTTCGGATCTGATTAGATTTGCAGTAAGAAGAGGAACTGAAGGGGCAACGACCTGCACTGCCTTGCTTGGGAGAATGAGGAGACCTACTGCACACAGGGCCGGCTCTAGGCACCAGCGTTCCAAGCATGTGCTTGGGGCGTCAGTTTTCAAGGGGCGGCATCCAGCTCTTTGGAGCAGCACTTTTCAAGGGGCGGCACTCCGGCCTTTTTGTTGTTGTTGTTTTTGCTTCGGCAGCGGCATTCCGGCTTTTTTTTTTTGCTTGGGGTGGCAAAAAACCTGGAGCCGGCCCTGACTGCACATGTGTGGGCCAACAGACACTGCTTGTTAAAATCTCGCACTTGGGCATATAGTGTGCAGCTTGTGTAACCATGTGTTGAATAGAGATAGGACCACACATCTCAAAGAACTTCCAATTACAGTAAGTAACCTCCATTTCTTCCAAGTAGACTTTTCTGTCTAAGTTATTTGTATTCATTCCAGTGAGTCATAGTTCCAAGAAGGAATTTCCTGATTTGGAATCTATGTGCTGACTCCCATACCCCACAAGGGGAGACTGAGGAATTGGGAATACTTGTAGAGGCATGTTTTTTTTTTTTTTTTTTTTTTGTCAGAATTCCCTGCTAGCTTATCCTTTAGTCCAATAGATCACAGAGACTGCCTGTTCTTTTCCTGATTCTAATCAGGTGTTTTGCTAAATCTGTTCAGGGATTGTGTATTCTCCCAGAAGATTTTGGAGACAAGTGGCTCTCCCTAGAGTGGATTTTAGTTACATCTTGCTCAAAAAAAGATAGACTTCACAGGGATTTCTAGCATATGCTTAAAGGATCCCTTGGGTAGTCAACAGGAGTCTCTTGCATGAAAACTTATTTTATTTCAGTGCCATGCTGTTTATTCATTTGTGTGTCCACATTAGTTATTTGCTGACTGTTGGAGTTTTTCCTGTGTAAAGCCTGCAGGAATTGGCCCTTGATCTGCCTTTCTTTGATTCTATAACTTAGTAAAAGACATTGTCACTTTCAAATGTTTTATACTTCATTTTATTGCTTTTATGTTTTGTTTATACTGTTGTATAAATTGAACTAAACTGTATTAAATTTTCTGGCCACTTGAAGAGAAATAAAATTGACTATTGTTGAAAAGAAAACATTGACCACCTCTTGAAAAAATGCTAGATAAAAGACCTCTTGTTAAAATTAGTTATGCTTTATATTTATTTGCCATAATGCAGTTGTTGAAAGTAATAATTTGGAATTAGGAATTCCATATAAAAATATTACAACATTTTTCATTTTTTACAGGTGTAACACTATCAAATGCAATGGTAAATGCAGGTCTGACATCATTTAAAAAAATTGAAGATGCAAATGCAAGGGAGCTTGAATTGGTATTTAAAATTTTATATGCCTATTTATATAAGGAAATGCTAATGTTTAATACTTAATAAGTTATAGACTCCAATGTTTTAAGTGGTTTATTCTTGTACAGTATCACACTAGATTAAAGAAATATGCAATTATCTGACAGAGGTAGTTGATTCTTTTCCTGAAGTTGGTTAAGTTGATGTTTTGCTTCAATTATAAGTTACATCTTAATTTTACTGACATTTTTGTATTACCATATGGGGGAAGAGAGATTCACCCTAGAACTTTCCACTAACTAAAAGAATAATAGCTCAAATTCAGGAATTTCATCATTATCCTTTTAGTAGCGGAAAGTCGTAGAATGAAATCCTGGCCCCACTGAAGTCAATGGCAAAACTCCCATTGAACATGGGTGAGGCCAGGATCTCACTGCTGGTGCGGAAAGACGTGGGATTAAATTTTTCTGGGCTCCTGATGCACAATTTCTTTGGCATTTCTGGTTTTTAAGTGTGATAGCATCCTCTCCCCACAGTGTGTAAGGTGCTCTTTCAGATCTCCAAATGTTGTGGGCTTCATTAATACTCTTGTTTTGCATTTGGGAATTTGTTAGATCTTAATTTGCCTTCTCTGCCTGTTTCTCTCCCCCCCCCCCGACCAGTTTCTTGTGTTTCATCATTTAATACATTAAAGTTTAGGACAACATAGTATAGATTCCTAATGTAGGCACTAGAGGCAGCTTTTTGAGGTCTGGCTCTACTCTGGAGAGGAGCAACAGTTTGAAGCATTTCTGTATTTTTGGTTAGGTTGCTATTCAGGTTACCATTGCAGGTAGGGAGATAGGAATCTTATATTTGGTTTGTTTTTTTTAATGACTCAGATGGCCTTACTTAGTTCCTTGTCCTTGGTTTTAAATTTCTCTCATATGTAGTTTTTATATTATGATAAAATAATAGTAAAGTTGGAATGTCAAGTACTCCAAAGTTAGAAAATGCCAGAATTAAGATTTCCTGTGCAACCTTAATTTGGCTCCCTTTTGTTTATGCTTTATGATACAATATTTAATTATATGATCACATATTACTTTCTCCGCAGAATCCCTGCCACATTCAGTGCGGTGCTGCCTGGCTAAGGCAGGTTAGTCCCTATCTTTTCTGACAGCAGTCTGCGCCCCGGAAGCGGCCAACAGCAGGTCCGGCTCCTAGGCAGGGGGACCACAGGGCTCTGCGTGCGGCCCCGGCCCCAAGCACCGGCTCTGCACTCCCATTGGCTGGTTCCCAGTCAATGGGAACTGGGGGAACGGTGCCTGCAGGCAAGAGCCGTGTGGAGCCGCTTGCACTCGTCCACCTAGGAGCCGGACCTGCTGGTGGCCGCTTCTGGAGCGCAGCGCAGTCTGTGGTGCCAGAACAGGCAGGAAGCCTGCCTTAGCACCGCCGCTGACCGGGAGCCGCCCGAGGTAACCCCGTGCCCCAATCTCCTACCCCAGCTCTGAGCCCCCCCCAAACCTGGAGCCCCTTCCTGCACCCCAAACCCCTCATCCCCGGCCCCAGGCCAGAGCCTGAACCCCCAGCCCAGAGCCCTGACCCCTTGCCTCACCCCAACCCCCTGCCCCAGCCCAGAGCCCCCTCCCACACCCAAACCCCTCATCCCCAGCTCCGTTGGGTCACGGGCATCAACAGTTTTCTTAAACTGGGTCACCAGAAAAAAGTTTTAAAACCACTTTTCTAGACCATACCCTCCACTACACAGCCCTGATTCAGTCCAGAGGAAGTCCCTCCTGTGCACTGAATGAGGCAGGGGTCTCAAGGAAAAGATATGTGGTTATGTAATCTGAGACCATATCGTGAACCATATGCACAAGAGTGCCAAATTAAGATGGCAAAAGCTAACTTTTTATGTGCTTGACTTTGCAATCTTTTTGTTCTTTTAACATTAGTTTTTGTGTGTAATTTCTTAGATTTTTTAAAAAAGCAAATTGAAAAAACAAATACCATCACGTGTCTTCATATTGACATCCAAATGGTTCATCAGCAGGATTAGAACCTCTAGATCCCCAGCACTGACCTCTGTTACTGAAGCCAACACAGTAAATGATAGCAAGAGTAGGTTATCATCTGCTATGTGGACCAACCCTAGAGAGGGATAAGACACATTTTACCAGTATTTCATAGATATTTGCTCTCTTCAATTCTCCTTGCCTATTCAGTCCCAGTCTCCACACCTCAGGCTTCTTGTCCCAATCTCCTTGCTCAGCCAGTCCCTGCCTTCCCTCCCTCCAGCTTTTAGTCCCAGGCTCCAATTAGTCCAACGCTTCCCCCAGATCCCAGTGTCAACCCACAACACCCGGTCACTGTTTCTCTCTCCCCTTCCCCCACTTGCAGTTTCAGTGTCACCAAGCTCCTTGTCACAATCTACTCCTTTCCTTCCCCCTGGTCTGGCGCTTGTTCTTTCCACATTCAAGTCAGGCAGCTTCCTCTCCCAGCACAGGGTCCTTGAGTGCCCATGGGAGGCAAGCTCTATGCTTTCAGTTTTGGTGCCTGACTCCCTCCCTCCTCCCTCCCCCCCCCCCACCCCCCCCGGCCCCTGGCCCATAGCAGACAGGAGCAGCAATTACAGAAAAAGCCTTATTTCACTCCTGTATTCCTGTGTTTAGGCATGCTCTGTTGCTCTTTGGGCATGGTGCATGCCTAGTTTGAACAGCACTGGGAGCTGTGAGGGGATGGAGGCTGCATGCTCATTGAGGATGGACTATTCAGAGATTTTAGCTACTAAACTTTAAGAAGTCTCTACTGAGCATGTGAGAACTGAGATTTTTCAAAGGTTTATAATTTGACCAAGTATGGATGGGTTTTCAAATGAACAGCAAAATGCACATTCCTAATACAAAGGCCACTCTTGCCAAATGTCAATTCCCTACTCCAAAGTCTGGGGGTGATAGAGCTTCTCAAAGAAAAAGTCACCAGAATTCTTTTGACATTGCAAAACAATGCTTTTTTTCCCTAACCTCATTCTTGGAAGAAGCTGAACAGTTTTAGCTGAAACATTCACCGTCCTGCCCAAAAAGATCAGCCTGTGACACTGAAAAATGGAAAATTTCAGCCTGATGGTTAAAGTTTGACAGAGTTTTAAATGGCTGAAAATAGTGTCTTATAATTGGAAATGTCAGGAAACTTTAATAGGTAGTGCTACCAGCCTATAACATTAGGATAATATACATTTCCTTAGGGCAGAGGTTCTCAAACTATGGTCCGTGGACCACCAGTGGTCCGTGAACTCCATGCGGGTGGTCCGCAGATAGTTCCCTCTAAGGTGCGTGCCTGGGCGGCCGCACACAAAACAATGAAGGGCCACCCACCTAATTAGTAGAGCTGCGCAGGCATGGCTCCACAAATTAGGTGCCTGTACCCTGGAGAAGACGCACATGTAAGGTGAGGTGGTGGCCTTGGGGGGAATCAGGGGTAGGTGGTACGGGGCACTGGGGTGAGAAGAGGGGGTGGGGGAAATTTGGGATGTGCAGGGCTGTAGCTGCCAGGGAGAGATGGCCCTCCTTCCCAGCTCAGGGGCTGCCACACGGGGGAGAAAGGGCACATCCATCGCATTAGAAAGGTAAGACTACTGATATTAAAATATGAGTTGTGTGCTTTTATTTGTAGAACAAAAAAAACGTTTATAATTAAGGGTTTTTTTATATGGTGCTTTTATCCAAATCGCTTTACAATAGTTAGCTAATGGTACAAACAACATTTGGAAAGATCATTAAGTGGTCCACTGAGACCCTCAGCAATTTTCAAGTGGTCCATGAAAAAAAAAAGTTTGAGAACCACTGCCTTAGGGGAACCCCTGTGGATGCTGGGTCATCTAGTAACTTCCTTTTATTATGGTATTGCCAATACTGCATCTAAAACACCTCCTTTCTCCTACTCCTCTGTAATGTTGAGGAACTGTGGTCCTTCCAAAATGACAATAGAAGCTCTCTATGGTCCCAAAACACTTATTTGTATGACTGAAGTTATGCTTGGACTTCCATATATGTGCTATCACAGTTTTCTCTCAAGAATAGCCCTTACCCAGGATTAGGGTTTTTCCCCTCTTACACTTAATAGTATAATTTATCAGATAAAGTTGTTCATATTCATTCTAGCGTGATCTGATCCATTTTACTGGGGGCAGTCTTCTATAGCATTTCTTTTTTTGTGGGTGGAGGAGGGCCGGGACTAAGGAGTTCAGTAGGTTCCAAGTTCCTTGCCTGTTGAGGATTATGAGTGAGATGAGAGTCAACCTCTGAGAGACTATTCTGCTTGTGGCTGAACAGTTATTGTACATCAAAGCAACTGATACTTTTTCTTGTCAATTCTTTCCTGGTTGGTGAAGTATTAACTGCTTCCAGTTAAGACATTTCTTCATCAGGATGAGGAAAGAAGAAATTATACCATCCCTGGAAAATAATTATCCCTCTTGAATAATAAGTACAGTATTTGCAAATTATGGGCCAAATCTTGAAACGATATGGAAACCTCCAACTTCTTTGATATTAAGGGTAGTTGTAGGTGAATAAGAACTGTCCATAGTTGATCCTGTGCATTCTCTTATTAAACTTCTTTATTTGAAAGTTATTTTTATTACTGGTAATACATGACTTGTAATATATCAGAAATAAAACTAAATATTTGCAGATTTTAAACAGACATCCTCCTTTTGGAAACCAAATAAAAGAATCTGTGCTACACCTGCCAAAATATGAACTTGACATTGAACAGGTAACTTCTTCCATTTGCTTTACTTGGATAATGCTTTTTATGATTGTTTTGCTTTAGAATTCTGCTAACATAGTAAAAATAAAATATTTCAATAAAATATTACAATATTAAATGTGTACGTCCCCCATCAGGAAAACGAAACCAGTCATGCCCCCCTTCAACCTTGCCATGTGTTGTTAAAGGCCTGCCCATTTAATTTATACATATTCTGTGTTCCTAAGAGTGTTCTTTGTGACCTCTGTATGGGCACACTCCACATTTTAGGAAATATTGTCATAAGAAATGTTCCTGAAACATAAGTTCATTCAAAGACTTCTTAAGTCAGTTGTCTACATTCTACACAAAATATCTGATCTCTTTCTTTTCTTGTTTCTTCTGTTTGTCAGCAATCTTTTTATGTTAAAAGATGTGAAAGGAGACAGTTCACCTATTGATCTAGCTCTTTTGAATATGTAAATCTGACAGCTCTCTTCCATCTTAAATATCAAACATGAGGCAAAAAGAGGTCAATAAGAATTTTTTTCTGTTTTTAGATGTCAGATTCAGGAACATACAGAAACAATAGCTGATTAGAATCAAATAATTGATACCATGCATATCAAAGGAGGCATGAGCTAATGCTTTGGTTGGGAGACAGGAAATCCTGAGTTCTGATACTTACTCCCTCTCTGACATTGGGCAAGTCACTTAACCAGTCTGCCTCATCATTCTTATCTGCAAAATGTGGATAACAACACTTAATTGCCTCATAGCATTGTTAAGACAATTAGTTACAGTTTGTACTTCGAAGATAAAAAACTTGATATAAGTTTAAAGTGTTATGACTATTACTATAATAATGATCAATTCAGTTTTAGTCTGTCATTTTGTAGATTAGCAGAAGTCCTTGAATAATGTATTGGTAATTCTAAAATCCTTTTCAGAAGGAAAAGTTAACAATGATAAATGCTTCATCCCCAGACATATTTACATATGAATTAATAAGAGAAAAGGAGGATTTTCCTTGTCTTATTCTGTATTCTTTCCTGTGAAGCTAGTTCATGTTTATTTTGATACATATATTTGTGTCTGATACATTTTTGTTGATGCCAACAATGGAGGATCAGAATTTAATGTATTAACCTCTTTCAGCCAAGATTTATTGTGATTCTATTTTAATTTATGTAATCCAAATTGGACCCATAATAGCTGATATCATTAACTGAAAAAAACACCAAGACCATCTCAAATCAGCATTTGAAATAGCATTATATTGTTTATGAAAAATATACATACATGTAAAATACACTTCGTTTTTACCATAAATTTCTCCAAAGCAATTATTTCCTATATCTTCCATAAGAATTCTTCAAAATTATGGGCACAGTTCATTTCTCTAGAATTTGGTGATCACGTTTCTGGCTTCCGTTAACCACTGATTAATCATTTAAATGGTATAATTAGTATCCAGCAATTAAACTTAATAAAGGGATACGGAAGCTCTGATTGTTAGATTACCAACCTGAGCCAGACTGAACTATGCAGTGTTGTAGCTGTCAGTCCCAGGATATTAGAGAGACAAGGTGGGTGAGGCAATATCTTTTACTGGACCAACTTCTGTTGGTGAGAGTGACAAACTTTCAAGCTGCTTCTTCTACCAGACCTGAAGAAGAACTCTATGTAAGCTTGAAAGCCTGTCTCACTTACCAACAGAAGTAGGTCCAATAAAAAATATTACCTCATGCCCCTTGTCTCCCACATAGAACTGGCAGTTGTGTCTGTAAGTCATTATAATAGGAAGGTTCTTTAGGGGTTTGTGAGAAAGAAGTTGATGGTCTCAGTCTAGTTTGTAGTGAAAAAAGTCCACTCTCAAAATTGCCATGATTAGCACTCATCGTTGCAGTCTTAACATTAGAAAAAGAATGGAGACCGAACTATCTTCACTCACCTAAAGTAGTCTCCTTCTAGATCAGACAAATAGACATTGGAATGGGGGAACAGGGCAGTGTTGAGAAAGCTTGCCTCGCTGCTGTCTGTAATGAACTTGTTATGTGGGTGAATAGAATAATAGTTGATTCACTCGCATCACCAGTCTGACATATTTTGAAAACATTAGGATTACAGTAACTCCTCACTTAAAGTCATCCCAGTTAACGTTTTTACGTTGCTGATCAATTAGAGAACATGCTCATTTAAAGTTGCGCAATGCTCCCTTATAATGTCGTTTGGCAGCCGCCTGCTTTGTCCACTGCTCGCAGGAAGAGCAGCCCATTTCAGCTAGCTGGTGGGGGCTTTGAACCAAGGTCAGGGCCGGCCTTAGCAAGAGCGGGGCCCGATTCCTGGGGGCGGGGCTTGCCGCTGGCAAGACCCGCCCCCAGGAATCGGGCCCCGCTTGGGCTGGGGTAGCGGGGTTTGGGTCCGGGCCGGAGTCGCTCGGCCCAGGCCCGAGCCAGAGCCGCCGGGGCCCGAGGGGCTCGGGCTGGGGCCACTTGGGCCAGGGCCTGAGCCAGGCCAGGGGTATTCGGCCGGGGCCGGAGCCGTGGGGCCCGAGCTGAGCTGGGGGTGCTCGGCCGGCACCGCTCGGCTGGGGCCGGGGCCGGCGCCCCGGGGCCTGAGCCAGAGCCGCCGGGGCCTGAGGTGTTGGGGCCGGGCCGGCGCCCCGGGGCCCAAGCCGGCGGTGCTCGGCTGGGGCCGGAGCCGTGGGGCCGTGCTGGGGGTGCTCGGCCGGAACTGGGGCCGCTGCCCCGGGGCCCGAGCCGGGCCGGAGCCAGAGCCGCTCGGCCGGGGCTGGGCTGGCGCCCGGGCCCGGGCCGGAGCCAGAGCCGCTCGG